CCCTCTCTCTCCTCACCTCGCACTTTGGCTGTGAGCTTGCGGGCGCCAAGATAAGCCAAAACCAAAATCCCCCATTTTCATCCACTTACAGCGCCCATCGCAGCGGCAAAGAAACGTGGTAATGGGGTGGAAAAGGGTGTTACATTGACTTAAAATTATGAAGTTGTTACATCTGCAAAAATGTTTTTTTCCCTCCCAGAACTACTCTCTTCTCTCTTTTCCTTCTCCCTTCTCTCTCTTTCTCTCTCGTCTCTCTCCCTCTCTCAATGTTGGTACGCAGAATGCGCCTTTTTCTCAAATCAACCTGGTGCCCTTTTATTTGGCGCAGGTGCGACCCAGTTATGTGCAGCTGTTTATAACGCTGTGAGCATGGGTCTGCGGAGAGCATTTCTCCGTCGTTTCCCAACTTAGCAGCCCGAAAACGTTTACCCATTTAAACAAGTCCGTGGTAGATACCGTTGTTTGTTTTAAACATCCTAAATACACAACAACACATGAATACTTACAGGTTTGTACCGAATCTCCCGCTGCTCCAAACAAAGCACAGGAACGGCATCGTTCAGTGCCAAAAACGCTGTACTTACCCCGGCATGAACGGGCTGGAAAGGTTTGAGAAGCTTGTTTCGTGAAATGGCTGGGCAGAGAGTGTGGCCTCTGGTATCTCACAACGTCACAGTAACCCGGGAGGTAAACAATGGAAATGAGAATCCCCCCACAAAGAGGCGTTCTGGGGCCCACGCAATATAGACAGGTCTCTCTGTGTTAGTTTTACCCCTACCTCGGGTGTATTGAGGGATTGGTGATTCTGCAGACCGTTACCATGGCAGAAAAACCTTCATAACACAGCAAAGGGGACGCGGTTTAATATAACCTGGAAAATGCATGACATGTTAATATCCCGCTAAAGGCACAGTTTAACTGGGCATGGTAATTGTTTGTATTCAGTCGAGTAACATTCTGTATCACATCATGATGAAATGTAAAGCCAATAATAATCAATTTGATTTGTAAGCAGGGCACTTTTAATTTGCTTAAACCAAAACTCAAGTCGTGCTACAGAGGCAAAAAAGGGTGAAACAAACAACAAAACAATTAACGATTAAAACTCGATTAAAACACAGAATAAAAGCAGTGGACATTTATGCGGCATGTGGCAAAATGTGGGTGTTTTTAAAAATCTAGTAAAAGGCTATCTAAAAAGATGGGCGTTTTTTAGGCCTTTCTTAAAAGCATCCACAGTCTGTGGTGCCCTCAGCTGGTTTGGGAGGGCACTCCACAGTCTCGGAGCAGCGGAGCAGAAGGCTCGGGGTGTCTCTCAATGTCGAGGACATTTCCTTGGTAGGACATGTCCCTCATTCAGGTCCTTCAGAAGCGAGGCAAGAATCCTTCCTAGCCTCGGAAAACGAAGAATGGTGGAACAGGCAAAGGTGTGCAGGTGTGCGTCATATGCGAGGCCCACCTTAAATGGAGCGCGATATCTGCCAAAGATTTGGAAATTGGTCCGTGCACAAAGCATTGTGGGGATTTTAAGACCGCGGAGGATACACATGTACAGCCTCGAAATTTCCAACAAGCTTTTCAGCATCTGGCAGACTGAGTGTGGGGTGGAGTTTGGAAATATTTCTGGAGGTGGTAGAAGGAGGTCTTGCATGTTTGTTTGATGTGGGCCTCAAAGGGCCTATAGA